CCCACCCCAATCATGAACGTGGTCGGGAGACTGACAGGCCAACGGCTTCAAGCTTGCTTTCAAAGATGTTAAATATGTTGTCTAAAATTGTTGAATGTTAAGCCTGTGTCTAAGCTCTACCAACTTTTACTCGATTTATCACCAAAAATCTGAAACTGCAAGGCTGCGAGTGACATTTCCTGATAATCTGCAACATTTTGAGAAGGCGGCTGAGGCAATGGAACAGTCAGTGCCAAAACCTGCTTTCTGAGCATTGAGCTATCGTCCAGCCGCGCCATAAAAACATTCTCGGTCAGTCCTGGCAGGAACTGAGATCACACAGAGAAGTGACTTCCAGTTCGCGTCGACTGGTCTTCTGAGAAACTGCTAGCCAATCTGATACGAAAGAAACGGTTCAGTGCAGGACCTGATACAGCGTAAAATGTTCTACGAGTCTGCAGTAGAGTCGGCAAGCGTGTCGCGTGTTATGACACGGGATGTAGCAAAGCGATGGATGGATCAGTAAGCTGTTCGGCCTGTAGCCACCTACGCTGCAGTTTTCATACAGTTTTTGTTTTCAAGTGAGGGCAGTGTGAGGAATATTTCAATGTTCGTCGGAAGCAGCCAATCAAAGTTACGACTGCCAAAGATTGGCCTTCATAAAGTAACAAGTCTCACAAACGAAGTACTTACCCACTAAACCGTGTATCTCTACATCTTGGCCGTAGTTCAAACGCGTGATTCCTTGACCAAGTTCGTAGACGAGTCTCTTGCGGCAGCCCAAAAGAGATAAATGACTTTGCAGTGAACCCGTTGCCTCGAGGATCAGGCCGGGATCAGCGCCATGTAAGAGGTTTCTAACCGACGTGAACGCCAAACCTCTGTCTTGTAGTCTGTAAATGTGGCTCAGTCCTTGAACCATCTGTCGCACATGACGGTCCACTCGCCAGAGGCCTAAGCCGTAGCGCCACAGAGGTTTCAAGAAACGTAATATCGGTTTCGTGGAATGTACGTAGCGCAATTCAGCGCCATCCACGATAGCGAATTTGACGTTCGATGACGGATGAATCACCGCGTCCAAACCTAATAAATATAATAAAAGTCAGACGTTTCTTGGCAGCACTGAAAACAGCAGCAACTAAAATACGTGTCACAGATTTTATCAGTGCGTAGTACAGTTTCAAGTCCAGATCTATCATCGTCACTAAGGACCAGTGCTGATCGAACAGGGGCTGAAGGCTATCGTGTCGACTCAACGGCAAAGCCGGAATCATATGACCTTAAGCCATATTCGCTTATGTATAATTGAGGATAAGGGACAGAGTGGATGAAAAACAGGGGAGTGCATGGTCCTCAGCCGTTAGAGTAACATGAAAGCGAATTTCAAGAAAATAACATATCATCGCTTGGTGACTTCGCAACGGAGCTGAAAATTAAATCATAAACCAAATTAAGAAAAGATTCCACAAACGATGATCATCGTGCCAAAGCTAAAAGCTGACTTTCCTCTGGTTATTTTGCTTACCTTAATCTTCTTACATGGATATGCGATCGAACAGGGTGATAAAGATGAGACAGACTGTCTATGAACCTTTTCTATTAATCAGAACTTTAGCTATCGATAGACAGTAGTCAACAGAGTTATAGAAAGGGACTGGCTCAGAAGTACATAGAGGGATGCACGAATAGATATACAGAAGGGCAGATCTTCAGACAGAGAAGTAAAGATGCTGGTAAACAAAAAAAAAGAAACAAGGAGACAGATAAAAGGATTAAGCAGACGATCGCGATGCACAGTGTCAAAATCCACAATGACCTTAGAAACAAGCCGCATGACAGTTGAACATGATAGGTCACTCCCAAGCTTCGTATGATCAACAAAGCCGTTCAACAGCGTGCAGTAGCGCCATGCGCCCGGCCGGTGACCAGTAGAAGTACAAGCGCGGTTCACAGACAACTAAATCACGAAAATCTCACTAATTAATTAATCAATTAACATTTTACTGAGAAGTGATCGAAACTGCGTCATGTACAAGTTCTGCTGATGAATGACGCTTCCGCCGGCTTCGTACATGCATGTTCCAACTTTTGCCGTCACAGTCCTTCCTCCCGGCAATGCCTTCTCGAAAATATCGATCAATAACTGTTTTCCGAACAGCGTCCTTAAGAAATAGGCACATGAAGATCCACCGATTCCGGCTCCAATTATTGCTAAAACAGTATAATACTTCAAGTTCAACATGTACATAATATAGTATAATTCGACATAGCGCATTTCTTGAAAATAATACATTGAATAACAACTACCATAACAGTACTAAATAGAATTAGGTAAAATTAAACGTTCGGTGAATTAACTGCACTATTAACTACGTTGATCTTATTAGTTACTGGAATCTTCAAATAATCCGAACATGACAACGTTCAAAGCGATCAAGGTCCGAAAGTCACGGAGTTTATCGAGCAGAATATATCTACAGCTGTATGACTCGGTAGGTGACCACTAACACTCGTCAAAAGTGTGCAAAACAACATTGTTGGAGAGGGGCTAAAAGCCAATGTCTGTAAGACAGAGTATCGGAGTGCACGTCGCGGCCGACAACGGGAGGATACTATAATCGACGTTGAACAAATTACAGATCTCGTATCGGCAGATCTAACAATGCTACAATACTGTCTCTGATTATCCTTTAAGCGCCAGAACATAACCGAGTCACAAAAGACCAGATGCTGACACTTGGCACCCCTTCGAAGACAGGCCATGGCATACGTTAATAAAGTAATGCCAAAAATAAGCGAAGCTCATCAAAAGGTAGCATACACTAACTGCAGTTGCGTTGAGAATCTTTGAGAAGTATCGTAGAGAAAGACATCCGTTAGATAAACAACAAAGTATGAGCCATTACACAGCAGAAATCGTCGTTTAAGATAAATCTGGCACCATTTCGAGAGGATCATTAGTTTAGTGACGTGAACAGCTCCGCTGAAAAATTCTGTTTGTCTTAAACAGCTACAAAAATCGCAGAAACGAACACGTGCAACTTTTGAATTTATAATTAACAACGTAGTAGATGTATCCATCCAAACAACTGCACGGCAGTCGCAATCTCAACTGGCACCAAGAACGTCATCATAAATTTGTAACACCAAAACGTGACTGTAAAACAAAACAACATTTCTTGTACATTAATTTGATAACAATTCGCAGGATAACTGCTGCTTGAAACCTGTGTTTCCCCTAATTACATAAACTTCGCCAATATAGTTCTTCTACTTTAGTAAACATGCGCAAATTTTGATAGATTCTGAACACTGTCAGCAAAGCAAGCCAGCTGTTCAATGTAGATGTCGTAAAAGTAATGGAAGACCAGATTCCAAGACCCGTTGTAAAACTCAGTAAATCAATTCAAAACGATCTTCTGCATTCCCTGCACCTCAAGGTGTCAGTCTCCGATGTCTCAATTAATTTGTACCTATTCAGATGCTGAAACACAGAAAATCTGCGATTAAGCAGAAGGCTCAGACTCTGTAAAACGAGAAACAGAAAAGGCGGAATCTGCTCGAGTGTCTGCTCTGAAGCGAGACCACAGATTTAGGTACTCATGTGCTTCAACTTTCTATGCAACAACAGGTCTCCTCTTCATCATTCTTTATCATTAGAGTCATTATTGTGGACTTTGCTTGTTCTTGGGTCAGTGATTGCTAAAATGTTAGTCGGTGCTAGTTTCGCATCCCATTTCCGCTAATTAAAGCAGTAAATCTTTTGATTGATTTGATTTTGATGACGTAGAAGATAAAGATGGCCCTAATGCTATTCAAAAAGTCAAGCCAACTATGTGCATATAAGATAGTCTGAAAATTGAACCCTACAAACACTTTTCTGATGAAGAACAGTGTAACGGCAACGGAAACAGTTCATGAAATGCCATCAAAACGACGAAATTTATAGATTAACATAGTGAACATAGTTTAATATAAATAAAATAAGTACTGTTGCATCGAGTTTAGAAACAAAATTCATTAAAAATAGATATAAACGATTATCCACGATTAAAACTCCAATGCGAAAGAGCGGATTGAAGTCATGTCAAGGCTATATAAATGCGTGTAGTGCTTCATAAGATCAAAGTATCATAGGAATGGGCTCTGAATGTTATTGGGTTTTATGCTCTGATGATTTGTTAACGCAATAGCATTTGCTCGTTCAGCACGCACTGTGCTAATCAGAAGAGATGTGATGTTTACAGTCAGTTGCTAATAGTGAAGCTAATGCATCCAAAGGTACTAAAACATGAACAGACTATATTTTACGTGAAAACAAAACAACGTTTCATCATCATAATCACACGGGTTAATTGCTCACAGTTAAAATATCGACAATTTGCCAAACTTTTACGATCTCACTCGATTCACCTCAAGAGCAATATAATGCAGGCAACGATTAACAGCGTACGATGTACAGTGATAATCGCTGTTCGTATAATATAGTACATGAGTATGGATTATGTGTGATCAGAAGCGTTTGGCAAATTATCGATATTTTGATAATGCGGAGTAAACCCGTAAGCGATCATGCTTACTAAGCATGAATTATCATTAGCGTTTTACATAATGACGGCTTCGGAAACATCTAAAACTACGTAGTACTGTTTAGAAAAAATAATCTGAGTTGCATGTCACGGAGGTTTCAAACTGCTGCTATTGTTTATTCAAATTGTTAAATTACTGAAATTGTTTTACCATCGTTGTATGAAGCTATCAGAGCTCAAATACAGAGTAACCCTGATTTAAGATATCTGGTGCTGAGAAATTATACTTCAAATCGATACTACACAACGCTCACTGATGTGGCAAATGTCATATTCCCCCTCAGGGTTTTCTGCTGAATTTGTCGGTATGATTACCTAGAGCATGAGCAGAACGTCTTTGGATTGTGAAGCCTTCTGTATCCGAAGCTTTTCAACGAAAAGCACAGGTTACTGCAAATATTCCTTTCAGAAAGCACATCAAACTCTCCGCGTTGCATGGTGACCTCCTGATCGACGTCTGCCGTGTTTCGGTTCTATTACAACAAGCTTGTGGACTACAGTAAATGGTGTATGCTCAATCGAATTGTTTAACAGAACGAACCTCCATTTCTCAACCTCCGCATTTACTGAAGTCACCTGTGCTTGGAAGAAAATAAAGTCACTCATTTACGTGGCCTTGCGATTAAACCCTCATTTCGCGTCGAAGCCACTGAAGCTGCATGCAGTTCAACCATCATTCTTGCTCTGACGTTAGAAGAAGTGTATCCATGCCTACAACAAAAATCATCTAAGGCAAGTTTTCAAGTACAATGGGTCAATCTCCTAATTAAATGACATCTTAGGCATCTAGAAACACGGGAATGTCACCAAACCGTTGATCTGATCGAGTCGCGTGCTTGCTGGCATAATCGATGATGATGAACCGAGAGTTTGAACATTAAACAATTTGGCTATTAACAAAAGGAAATACCTATTTTTCTATTATGCATTTCAAACGTTTTTCAGGGTTGTTCGGATCATAAAGCGTAATCCTTCTTTGATGACGAAAACCGTTGCTCCAAGTCTAAATAACAAGCTGTCATTCATATCACTAAATGTCCCACTAGAAATTACTAGAAAAACTAAAACTTCAAGTTACCAGTACTCACGATTAAAGTAGAATATACGAGGAACTACAGCAAATATCAAACGACAAAGCATCATCATTCATTTACACTGCCTACCACTTATTACGGATCGAAAACAAAACTGTCTCAAAGAATTTTTTCAGTGATCACTATTCTAAGCCAACCGGACCAGCTCCAAGATCTGAATTTCGAGATTTGAGGGTCGCAGATTTATGGTAACGGCGCTATCTAGTTCGCAGCGTGCCAATGGGTCGTCCTCCGTATGGCTTTATCAACAGCCTCCAACGCTATGATTCCTTTTAAATAGAACGTCGTTCTTAAATGATGATTATGCAGTTTTCTTTACTTCTATGCGCTTAACCTTCGAGCAAAATGTATAAACAAAGTTGCGGATTCGTTGCAAATTTCTTTCACCTCGTTAGATTATGCTTTAGTTTTATATTAACCGTGAACCACGGCACTCCCATTTACTTATGCCGGCAGATAGTAAACTTTACCCGTAGAATCCTAACGATCATGGTCTCATACATTCTAACACATCAGTGATGAGAACAACTCCACGATCCTTTATGCAGCTGATGAGAAGGGTTGCTTTTTCTCACGATGATATCAGCCACGTTTTTATTTCTGTTGATAATCTTGCGTGTCGCTGGACGGTCACTAAAGAGCTATTTTGTTTCCTTCGAACGAAACGGTACTCGCTTTTCTTTCCCATCTCGCATGAAGAACCGACGGGCGATCTCGAACAGAAATTTTGGACCGTAAGTCTCACAGCTTCCATAACTGCGAATTGCATCACCACATCATCAAGATCATTAAGCGAAAGGTTTGAAGACATAGTGATATTCCGAGAGGTTCAAAATAAACTTGGATTTAAATGGAACGACCTGTTTCTTGACCAAAGATCCTCGACGAGTTCCATTGTAGCTTCTTCAACGTAATGAATAACA